TCTTTTTAGACTTTCCCAGCAAACACATCTTGTTTCTGGGACATATTGTTTTAGATTGTTTTATCTTCCCTAGCTCTCTGCTGACGAGCTAGCACCATATATGGAGTTGTTTTATTTTATCTGTTTATTATTTGTTATCCTGTTCTCACTGTCTCTGTGCTCTGTGCCTATAAAAATTACCAAGCCACTGTGCATGGTGTGAGTTATTCTTGGCAGCTCACCCGTGTACACGTTTGATAAAGAAAGTAACTTTGTCTCATTGTGTCTTTATTTCTCCTGGGTCTTTTACAGAATTTTCCCCCAACATTTCTTGGTCCTTCGGAGCCAGAGCACCTCCATCGTGTCCCATCTCCGTGACCAGTCCACGTTGTTCGCCTGTCGACAGCCCACACACCAGGTGTGTGGAAAAAGACCAAGAGCGTTAAATTCGGGTCTTGGCCAATGTCTTAGAAAGCGACCCACGGTGGTGGGGCCCGATCGAGGTGGACCAGACCCGGCGACACCGACCAGGTAGATACAGACACACTGACACAATCTTGCGTAAAAGCGTATTTTAAATTCAGGGAATTTAAAATAGCGAAAGTAGCTCGTCGCGACTGGAAGCTCCCCACCTCTGTGGGTTTAAAGTAGCTCGTCGGCTGGTAGCTTGGAGCTCGTCGACTGGAAGCTCCCCACTTCTGTGGGTTAGGTTTGGAGCTCTGGGTAGCTCCCCCAGCTGGGTCTAGACAGGGTCTAGGGAATAAGTAGCTCGTCTATAGAAAGACTGGCAGCTCCCTTTATTATAAGGGTTCCGATCGCGCGAATAGGTGTGAATGTGAATGTGTGTGTGTGTATTGTTTTAATTAATGGAGCAAGCTGAATTTTCACGGTCCAATAAGAGACTGAGCTGCTCCTACTGTGTTTTTCTTTTACTGCTATTCACTGACGTGCTGGTGAGTTGAGAGAACGGTCGAGTTCCGTCTCGTAAAGTTCACACCGCTTTTGGAAATAGTCCGAAAGTAGAAGGGCGTGTGAGCAACCACTCTCGTCTCTAATACCAGCGAAGGTGATAGCAGCTGTATCGTGTATATATTACTTAATAAACAAAAATAAGTAAATACATAAATAAGATGGGTAATCAAGCAAGTGAAATTAAAACTCATTCCTGCTGACGAGCAGTGGTGAGAAAAGAAAAGTCCAGACGCCGGACAAAAACTGAGAGATTTAAGAAAACAAAATATAAACAGTCGGGAGAACAGAATCCAACTGCCAGTTTAGTAAAACCAGAAGACGAGACACTGTGCAGTTCCCACAATCCTTTTAGTAAACCATCACTCATTCCTGCAGCCGCATGTGCAGCAACACCCATATCAGGAAGAACATAATAATCCCTTATGAAGTGAAAACTAGAGATCAAAGTAGTTTGAGGTAGTTTAAAAGGGTTGAAAACAGACCCCACTGAGTAGATATAAATATAAAAAGTACGAAATAAAGATAAACAAAGGGAAAATTACAGTAGAAATTATCTTTAGAGTATTTGAAATTAATAATACCAAGGATAACAACCTGTAAAGTGATATTATCAATGAAACACAGTTGGCATGATGACCATGCCCACAATGTATAAAATGAATATAAAGCAAATAATTCACACGAAAATATTTTAATAAAATAAATAAAGTATATTAAGACTGTGTCATTGTTCAGCCAAGGACAGTGTGTGAAAAGGTAACTGTCTCCACCTTGGGAAAAGGATGATTCTGCAGGTCATCTGAAGCCCTTGATGGATACAAAATAAAATATAAATAATATATTATAATAGAACTGCCTGTTCCGCCATGCAACAGAGAGAACAAATGTGACCGCAGATTGGATGAATTCAAAATTATCTGTTTGCTGAATAAGATGATCCTAACTATCAAATTGGCTCAGTAGTAGTATAATGGTACACACTGATAAAATATTATAATATGCTATTGCTGTTATATAAGACAAAGAGGATAATATTAACAATGACATAATATTAATATGAAGAGGCACCTTAATCGGTTATGATGTGAGGTGGATAATTGTTAAGCAGTAGTCTGCATCAAGCTTAAGGTTTGCTGAAACTCAGTGTAATGACATGTGAGATGAAGACAATACAGAGAATAACTAAACTAATGAAGTGCATAGAGGCACTTGACCAGCTTGAAACTTATCATCCTAGAATGACACATTGCTGAGATATAGAGCACACCTATAATAACAACCAATAAGCAAAACCCTGTAGACAACAGCTACAACTACAGGATTGAGAAGCTGAATTAAATATGTAGACACTGCTAAGCTGATGAGCATGTTCCACATTTTCTTTTTCTTTTTATTTATTTGTTTCTTTTAGAGCAGAAGCTGCTGTAACACACCCAAAGAAAGACTCTAGGTCTGACCAACCGTTTCAGTCATGGGCAAAAATATGTCAGTCAATAAAATTCTAAAAGATAATTTATTGACAAAAAAATATATCAAGAGATAAAAGATAAAACAGTCCAGTGTCCCACTTAAGAATTGTATAAAAACACACAGTCCCAAGGCCAGAGCCAGCTATGCCACACAGCCAAGTTGCACTCCACATGTTGCCTTTAACAGGGTTAGAAGTTGTCCTTGGAGACCCACCACCCTGCAAGCATATAGTCAGTGGTCACTCAAGCCTCTGGAACTCTGCTGCCTTTAGGCTGTGGCATATAATAGGCCCTGGACTGCACAGAGAGACAAAACAACACAGCAGTGTTTGTAGTGTGGGCTATATGTAGACCAGTGTATCAGTGCAATCAAGTACACCTGCCTCTAATTAGTCCAACCCCATTCCAGCCATTGGCTCACCAAAAATGTGACAACCACAAAACCACTCCCAACCCAGTGCAACTTCACACAATAATATGGAGCTGAATTAACACAGGCACATTAGTCTACCATGTTACAAGCTGCATGCTATTAAAAGCCAACATATGTAGACTTCTGCCTTGTTCGGGTGGCAGCATTTTTCTTTTTCTTTTGTGTCCTGACACGTTTATGTTTTTTGTTTTTGTTTGATTATTTTGTTGGTTTTGGAAACGAATTTAAACGAACTTGTGACAATACTTGAGAATCACAGTGACACATAGTGATTAGGCATATGATTGAAAAATGCCTAGGTTTAGAGCTGTGAGCTATGAGCTGTGAGCAATGCAAAGTTAAATATATATATGTATGTATAAATGGGAAACAACCCTAACTTGAAAGTTTGAAATGTGTGAGATCCATGAATTGTTTGAAAAACTAGAAATTATTTAAAATTGCCTTAAGTGAAAATGTAGTGTTGCATCTATTCTCCCAAACCAAGAAAAAAAAGAAGAAGCATTCTGTAACTTAAAAATAAGGCTGACGTGTTGACAATAGACTAAAACACTAATCCGCAGGTGGCTATCAGGAACAGAGAGGCGAGCAAAGTCACAGACACCAATGCTGCAGACAGCCACGCAGAAACAGCAGATAACATAGAGACAACGCCTGCTAGAACCGTGGAGAGGAAGGTCACTTCCCACGAGATTGTAGGAGGAGGCCACAGAGAAATAATGCAAAACAGTTTCGAGGCAGCCACTTAAACTTACAGTTTTCAAAGGACAAATTAGTTGTAAAGTCAGCTTCAGGCCACACAACTGTACAACAATTAACTGCCCCTTTAGAACTAGTACATACAGCAAGTGGCCGCAGGTGCTTTATTAAATGAATATGACCCGTCGTGTCCAGTAACTTTGCTAGGTAGAGACGCTCTGACAAAACTTAAGATAGCAGTCATGCCATTCTTTTCTGGTATTAGCATTTGACCTTACAGCACAGGCCGAAATTGTGTAGGTTACGCAGTAACCACAGATAGTAAAATAATAGAAGCAAAACCATTTTCTTCTTCATGTTCTGCACAGAGCGCTGAGCTGATAGCTGTGATACGCGAAAGTGAAATACACAAAAACAAACTAATAAATATACATACAGACAGCCAGTATGTTTTCTCTGCTGTGCATCATTTTGCAAAAAATTTGGCATAACAGAGGAATGATTACACCAACTGGAAAACCGGTTCAGCATGCCAACCTCTTACAACGCCTACTGACTCTTTCATTACTACAGGCAACAATTTTGCTGACAGAGCAGCAAAATAGGCGGCACAAAAGACAAACATCACATTGATGGCAGTAAACACACATCAGATTACACTGGATGTGTTGAAAAATGAACAAAAAGCAGCAAGCACAGCAGAGCAGGCAAAATGGCTAAAACACGGTGCAGTTCTGACAAACGACTTAATGATGTGTTATGGCAAGCTAGTGTTGCCAAAATTCCTCCACAAAATGGCGGCATTAGTGACTCATGGCTGTACGCAGTTGTCAACGGGGGGACTGACCAGTATTGTCAACTCTCATTTCTACACTGTAAATTCTACACTGTAAATTTTGAAACCTCAGCAAAACAATTTGTCAGAACGTGCATGATGTGTCAAAAATATAATGCTCAGGGAAACCTGAGACCACACAATCCATATGGACTTTATTGAGCTAAATGAATGCCAAGGGTAAAAATACACCCTAGTGGTTATAGATGTATTCTCAAAGTGGCCAGAAATCTACCCAGTGAAAAAGGCAGATACAATTTCAGTAGCAAAATGTATGTCTAAGTTGTAGGAAAATAAAGAGATGATTGTAAATGACGAAGAATGTAATGATGTCTATCAAGTGTCTTGCAGATCACAGCCCGGTGACTGGGTTCTGATCAAAGTGCTCCAAAGGAAAAATTGGAGCTTGCAAAATAGCGGAACGACCATCCTGGATCCATCAGAGTCACTGCAGGCGAGTCAGTGAAGCCATCTAAACACAGCTGACGGCAGGCTTGTTGTGATCTCGCCCGGTGGAGGGGTCAGCTTTCCTGGCCAGGGGTCTACTCGCGACAGGAGGGTGTGTCCCGTCGTCATGAGGTGGTGGCTCTTAACAACTGCAGCGGCCCTGACCATGGCTGGGCTCCTCACCTTTGCTTCCGTGAGGGACAACAAGTCACGCTATATGGAGAAAAAGCAGACACTGTATGACAAAGGACAGTACACCAAGTTTCCCCATGGCTACGCCACTAACTTTTGGTGGCAGTTTATGAACACTACAGCTCACTGGAATAATAAAACTGACTGCTATGCATGTACCCATATGCCCCTATCCTCGCAGACGTCTGGCCTGTGGCCGTACAGCATACCTGAAGATCGCAGTTGGTGTCTGTTGGGCCTGGCAACACATCCAGGCTACGGTACTCTTTGGTCCAAGGCCAACTACAGCATCCCAGCAAAAGCAACCTGGAGGTCATCGTCACCCACAAATGTGAACTGTTCCGGACAGACCTACCTACTGACCTGGCCCCAAGTCTCAGACCCACTGCCTGATGTAATTCTACTGAACAAGCTGAACGCAGCGCAACTGCCAGTATGTGTGATGAACAATGGATCGCGGGCAGTGGGGGAGCTGCCTACTCACCTATCTACCGGATGCCACTACAAACAAAGACTCAGTACCAGACAGGATGTGCACGGACGGCACCAAGCAGTAAAGGAACCAGAGTTTCGCATCTGAGGAGGAGTGAAATTCTTACAGAGCTTGATCCCCGGCATTGGAGCTGCCGAGGTGCGGGATCATGTGGAGGTCAACCGATATGCTCTGCTACGACACATCAACTTTGACAAAGACCCTGGGACCGGCCTTAGCAGGAGAACAGAAGGCCATCAGAACGATGGTGTTGCAGAACAGACTGACACTAGACCTGCTAACAGCATCACAAGGAGGAGTTTGCAAGCTCATAGGGGAGACATGTTGCACTTTTATCCCTGATGGATACGAAACTGGAGGAGACATTTATGAATCTTTGCAGAATTTGACCGTTCTGCAAAAATATGTCACTGACCACACACCTGGAGCAGCTACAGCACAAGGCTGGCTGGACTGGCTGTTCAGCGGTTCATGGCTGGCTGCTGTAGCAAAGCCATTTTTCCTTCTAGGTCTCATCATGATAGCACTGCTCATATTAGTGTTGTGTGTATTGCCATGCCTAAGAGTAATGATTTCAAAGATGATAACAACTACAATGACTGCTTATGTTGCCGTGCCTCAAGAAGAACAGCATCCCGTTGCAATTCTGTTAGAGGAGAACTTGTAATAACTGCTAATAAATGACGTGGTGTTTAAAAATGACTTGTCAAGTGATCATGATATGATTAACACATTAGTAGGTTATGCAGGTTTTTATCCTTTTATTTTTGAAGTTTTCAGTTTTAAACATAACGTTTTTCATTTTAAATATGAAGTTTTCATCATTTTACATATAAAGCTTTCAATTTAAGGTTTGCATCATTTTAAATATAAGGTTTTCATCCTTGTACTTTTTGAAGTTTTCATTTTACATATTAGGTTTTCATCATTTTTAAATACAAAGTTTCCATTTTAGTTTTTATCCTTTATTTTTTGTAGTTTTAGTTTTATTATTTTTTCTTGTTTATTCCACTTGTTATTTCATTTACTATGATTTTCATTTACTATGTTTTTTTTTTATTATTTTCTTTTGTTTTATTCTTTAGACCAAATGATTTCCATTTCTGCTATGCTGACATTTTGAAAATTAAAAAATCGCTTAAGATACTTAATAAATAACCTTCACAGACAATTGTTGTATACATTTAAAATAAGTTAAAACAGGAGGGAATGTTACAGGAAAAATGATTCTATGTTTCTTTACCTTCTTTTAAATGTACAAAGATGCCTTTTGTCTGCCCTTTGCCTATGGTTAGATTAGTTTAGAATTATCTTTTTTAGACTTTCCCAGCAAACACATCTTGTTTCTGGGACATATTGTTTTAGATTGTTTTATCTTCCCTAGCTCTCTGCTGACGAGCTAGCACCATATATGGAGTTGTTTTATTTTATCTGTTTATTATTTGTTATCCTGTTCTCACTGTCTCTGTGCTCTGTGCCTATAAAAATTACCAAGCCACTGTGCATGGTGTGAGTTGTTCTTTGCAGCTCACCCGTGTACACGTTTGATAAAGAAAGTAACTTTGTCTCATTGTGTCTTTATTTCTCCTGGGTCTTTTACAGTTTTCCCCCAACATAGGGTTAGGGTCATTTTGTTCTTGTAATCTTAGTTTCCTGGGTTCTGGCTTTTTCATTGTCTTTTGTTAATGTCCTTAACCTTTCCTTTATTTATTTATTTATTTTTTTCCCCCTCAGTTATCCTAAGTTCTACCTACCCAAAGTCTGATCTTCTGTGGTTATGCTTTCATTCATTTTAGGTGTGGCTGTTTTGGTTCTTGTCTTTGAGTTGTCCTCTGTTCTTGTTTGTCATTTGTTGGTCCATTTCGGTTATATTTTAATAATCTGGTGTTTTAGATTACAGAGGCCAATGAGGACTCAACTGGTGGAGAAGTTGTGCAGTCTGAGATGGCAATGTAAGTCTTTGACAACTGCCTTTGGACTGTAGCACTGTAAATGCATTACACCCTCTCATCAACAATATTTACCATATTGCAGTGTGCTGCATGACACCGAGACACCTGACCATAGCAGGCACAATGTACAGGAGCCAGAGGTTATCAGGTAAATGGCACTCTGTTTGTTTATGAGTTGGAATTTTAATCTTAAACTATTGCACAATTTCATTTATTTTTTGGTAAAAACTAGTTTGGTACAAACTAATTATATCATTATTATAACTTGGATCATTTTGTGTAGTCTAGATCAATAAATATCTGCATTGGGGTCCTCTTCCTGCTATGAAATATTTCTGCTATTCCTTTGCAGTGGTCTGCATGAAAACCATACAGCTCATTCTAGTAGGCATGGTCTCCAGGAACCAGAGGTTAACAAGCAAGTGGTAGTTGTTGAATAACATGCCAAAACTTAAGTGTAAACTGGAACTTATAAAGCACACACTATAGGTAAATAGACACTCAATAAGTACAATATACGGGGTGAGACCAGCGAATATTAAAATTTGAAAGGTTGCATGTATTGAACTGATAACATTTATGTGCTCTGAATATAGACCAATGGTTTAATTGCCTCATTCGGTTTCTGTTTTGCTTTTTCATGTTTTTCAGATTTGTTGATGTCATGATATAGGTATTTTTAATTGCTGAAAATGCATCGATAACACTTTAGTCAGCCTGACCATTCAGACACTTGGAACTACAAATCACCCAAACTATTCCCAGTAAATGGGCAGTTCCTTATGTTTCACAAAAAAAGGAAAAGAAGACACTGCTGGCCTGTGATAATCTTTTGTGCGCAGGAAAACTGCACTGTCAAAACTTGAAAGTTGCATTTTATAGTTTATTGATCCATTTTGGCAACCAATAACAAGATCCATTTTTGTCCCTTCATGCTGCTTGTCTCTCAAATTAAAAAACAACAAACAAAACAAAAGGCCCATCTCAGTGCATGCTGGTCTTATACCTGTCTCTTAAGTTATCAAAAATAGCCCTGAAATTCTTCCTGGCTGACTTGATAAGATAAACAACAAAACAATGAAGTGAGCATTAACCTACAAATAAAAAAATGATTAACCCAGAAATAGAAGTAAACTAACAACAAACTTTTATATTTTAATATTTTGAAATTTGTTAAAATACAAATGGCTCCAACAGATGCAATCAAGGACCACATGGCCATTTTAAGTGCCTGTATCTATACAGTAAAAGAATGTGAAATCAGATTCTTTTATCAGAGGAGTCATTCCATTTCAGTATGTATACATGATATTAAAAAAATCAAATGCATTTGTTCTGTTTAGGGAAGAGTTTTACATCGACTCTGCAGAGTCAGAAGTATCAGACCTGGATGAGGCTGTCCTGGCTTCCCCTGAACAAAATGACTCACATGTATGTCTCATGAACAACACTGCCAGAACTGCTGTGTATGTGTTTCATGTAGTCATGACCCTTCTCTCTCTCCCCCTCTTTTCTTCAGGACGAGATGGACCTTGCGACTGTGTTGAAAGATTTCCAGGAAACGCATCTTGACACCAGCAATTATTGTGCAATAATAGCCCGACGTAGGAAAATCCTACATAGTGCCTGCATGGCACTTTCCAAGTCATATTTTGCCTGGCATAAATTGCCAAATATTGAATTTGTTGGTGAAATGGCCGATGATTATGGAGGCCCAAGGCGGGAATTTTTTCGGTAACCCATTCCCATCTCTCCCACACAATAATACAATGCGTGAATGTGTTTTTTATTGTTGCAAAGATGAAATCACAATTTTGACTCAATTTTTTTTATTTTTTACTATCTTTTCCTGCAGATTACTTATGGTCGAAACTCAGAATTCCCTAGGGATTTTTGAGGGGAAGCCTGGCAGTCTGTTGTTCAGCTATAGCCAGCAGTTGCTGTCAAGCAACAAGTTTTATACGGCTGGTAAACTGATTGCTTGGTCAATAGCACACAATGGGCCAGGGCCACGGTATATCAACAGACACCTGTTCTGTATGATGTGTGGCCAGAAGACATCTCTTGATGACTTCGATGTAGAGGTCTTCATGGACGAAGACGTCAAACAGAACATAGAAAAGGTAAAACTGTGTGCATGCTGAGGTGTAATTAAATTCAGTGAAACGATGCATAGCTTAACTCATCAGTGGAACGTCTCAAAATGTAAGTACACTTAGAGGTGCCTAATTTTCAAGGTTTCCAACTGCAGTACCCCAGAAGACCTGGCAGACTTGAAAAGTCACCTTGGGGACTGGATTGCAGGCTGTGGTATCCCTGACATCTACACTGCCACACTACTTGATGTTAAGAGGATAAGGGGCGAGATTGTATCTCATTTTGCGTTTCACAGGTGAGAATTTGTTAGAAAATTACAAAGTAGTTTCCTGGTCAGGGCTCGTCTTCCCATTGTGTTCCCCCCTAATAGTTAACACTTAAACAAATCATCAATCTGCTGAGTTTATATCTGTATTGCAGTTAAGGTGGTGTTTAAATTGACAAAACAAAACTTTTTGTTTTGACAAAACTTTTTGTTTTGTTTCACAATTTTGCTATGTTGTATGAATTGAGAGTACAATCTGTGGTCAACAGGGTTGCCAGCATGATTCAGCAGTTTGTTGCCGGTATGGACTCATGTGGTCGGTTCTGGCAAATGGTGAAGAGATGCTGGAAGCAGTTCCTTCCTGTATTTACAAATGCAGGAAATAAACTTACAAGGAACAGCTTCCAGGATCTCTTCACCATTGGATGGAGTCCAGCTGGAAGTGACAGACGTGAAAAAGCCACCATCTTTCAGTGGGAATGGTGGCTTATGGCCATTCAGGGTGAGTACATAGAATACAACACATGTCTTGTTTCTGTTTGAATTGCTTCAGGCATTTCATGTTAAATACAGTGTCCACAATACAAAATACAGACAACTAAATCGAAACAACACTTGGGTGCAATAAAACCTTAGAACTTTGCAAAATCCACCCCTTCTTAGAGCATATGAGGAAGTTTTTGATTATTTTACCTTTTTAGGTGAGGTATTTGAAAGGAAACCACCTACAACAAATATTTTTGGAAGATTATTTCTTTTATCCTCTGTCATCTCTACCAGATCTTGTTTAGACTGATAGGATGTAATTTGATTTTCATTGTGATTTCTGGTAAAACATTAATTTTATTACATGACCGAAAACTTCTAACACTAAAATATTAAATAGTTATATTACATACTTGTATTTAAAATATGGTAAAATTTATGATTCAATTGTATTAGCACATCTGAGAATTAAGTAAATGGCCTGTATAGCGCTTTACTAAAGCAGTCATCCACACATTCACACACTGGTGATGGCAGCTACATTGTAGCCACAGACACCCTGGGGCGCACTGACAGAGGCGAGGCTGCCGGACACTGGCGCCACCGGGCCCTCTGACCACCACCAGTAGGCAACGGGTGAAGTGTCTTGCCTAAGGACACAACAACCGGGACTGTCCGAGCCGGGGTTCGAACCGGCAACCTTCAGAATACAAGACGAACTCCCAACTCTTGAGCCACGATCGCCCCCAGTATTTTTGCAGTGTTTAAGACAGGTTTCAAATTGTGTTATTTGTGTCATTTGTTAATTAGATGCACTGCCTAACTAGAAGAACCTTCAGGTATTACATTGACTATAACGAAACCTCCTGTATATTAGTGTCCTAGAGTAATCGAGTGGTGCAATGACAACACCCGCGCAAATGTGACATCACTAGAAAGCCAATGTACTCTTGCAAGGACAGAATGAATAACTTTAAAAAAAAAAATACACATTGCATAAACAGTCCTTGACATATAGGTCTGACTTGGAGGACCAAAATTAATTTCCTGTCTTAGGAGGGCAGGATTGCTTTGAGTATTTTTTTTTTATAATGCAATGCTTTGCAATAATTGTTTTGCCTAACAACCTGTTTTTGACTCCAAAATAGTCATTAACGCAACTGTTCTATGCAGTCAGTGTAACTGATTATAAATCTACACATTGCACACCTTATTTAACACTTGTATGTATTTTAACAGAGCGAGAGGTGGACCACACATTTGAAGAGCTCCTCGTCTTTATAACTGGGGCTGACTTACTTCCACCACTGGGGTTCCCACAGTCCTGCAACATCGACTTCTACGATCAGGAGTCAGGGATGCGGCGTATCCCGTACACATCAACGTGCAGCTTATCCCTGTATCTCCCAAGAGGTGTTGCAGATGAAGATCAATTCAAAGATCTTATGAATGATGCCTTAAAAGGATCCCTGGGATTTGGAAAGGTGTAGCTGCATACATGAACTGATGCTGGGAAGCTGTGGTTAAAACATGTGGGCTTTTGGGATGAAGTTCTTATTGTAAATGTTCTTAAAGGGGATTGCTCCTGGCACTCAGGCTTCTTAAAGATTTTACATTTTAAAGGTGTTTTTACAAATGACTGTTCATTGTGTATATAGTTATATTTATAGTCCAGTTAAGACAACTAGGGTATTCATGCATCAAGCTATGCAAAATAAGTGGTGTTCAGAAAGTTTCCAGGAAATAGTTCAAATGACAATTCATCTAGAAATATTCTTTTGAAATATTGTTGTTTATGTTCAATTATAGTACACTGCATAGAGTGGTTTGTTTTTTTTTTTAATTTATTTTCAAGATGTACAAGAGATGCCAGACAAACTTTGAACTAAAAGACACTGACTTTTGTAAAATAAAATATTGTAATGTCAGTTCTCATGGTGTCTTGTCTATTTAAAAATTAAATTTAAGGCTTACCTGTTACTGTCAAATACTGGTATTGGGTTCCATTGACGAGGGCTATGTAGTACAATTATGTGCTTAAGTCAAGGTAAAAGGTTAAATGAATTTACCCTCATTGTTCTCAAACCAAGAACTGAAGAATCAATCTCAACTCAGAATTAAAAGTTACGAATTAATTTTACTGGTTTCGAGAACAAAGCAGTTTTAACAAACTGACTTTAAGCTCTCGTTAACTCTGAGATTGGCACCTGGCCTTTCACTATAACCTGGTTAAAAATCAATTATGTAATTGTGGTAGAATTTGGTAGTATTGTGGTAGAATTATGTAAGAGATGATGGCTGTAAAGCTAGTGTTTTTTGTAAAAAAATAATGTCAAGATAATGAACACTGGTATTAAAATTATATTTTATACATAATGCAATAACTGTAATTACCAAAGTAAAGAAAATGATTTGTTAGACTCAGTTTGTTGGTGAACGATGCTTAAAAAGTGTGTAGCAATTTGGACAGTATATCCAGTGATTGCTTTGCTTTTTCTATGGTCACGGCTTACCTACTTTATTACAGTCATTTGGCTGTACGTGAAAATATATTTAGCTAAAGTTCCTTCTGCTTGTTTAGGTTTATCTCTGTTATAGGTTCATTCAGCCCAACCTCAGGAAACTTGTCTGCTTGCCTACTGTCATCTCTACAAGCCTCATCATATTCATGCTGTCTGACTCCGCTGATAAGGAACCAAAATCCCTGAAATGAACAGTCGCTTTCTAGCCTATATTTTTAAGCCTCAGTTCATCCAAAAACAGGATTACACAGTGGTACATGTTTATAGATCAAACACTCTATAAATGAATGTTTTTCATTTTCCCTAATGTGTGTTCACAAAGGACACAGCCACAAGTGCTTCTACAGTGTTTGTTTTTACTTTTAGCTACATGGTGGTTTAAATAAATGTCACACATGAACTTGTAATCTCTGAAAAATAAGGGGAAAAGGTGAGATTTGAAAAATATTCCTGAGATACTGTTAACATTAAATTTGAAGGCTATTATACAGCGGTATTACTTTAAACTGAGTAAAGCGGTATTTTCATAAAAGGTCTCCTTTTGTTTGTTTCAGAAAGAGCATACTGTCATTTACTTGCTTTTATTATTTATTTATATGCCCTCCGCGGACCATCTCTGCACTGCGTGGGTGATTAGTGGCTCCCTGCACAGTAAGGGCTGCACACAGGGACAAGACGCACTCGGTTACGATCGGATCTTCCCTGGGCAGGGGGAGGTGATGAACTGTATGCCACTTTTTCATTGGCATACATTAAGTACAATGTTTTATTGCCTACGGTGGGGCAGGTCACATACTGGGTGAAGGTGGGCAGTGTGGAGTCCAGCGAGACATGATTAAAGTCCCCTAATATTAGAGACAGTGTACAAGACAGTGTACATCACTGTCACAACGACATTTGTTTTCATTCAAAGGCTTTATGGTTTTTCCTATAATACCTGGTGGACCAGTCTCTAGTCAAAATGCCCAGGCTGATTTTTTGTCCCAGTCCAGCCCTGGGTCTGAGCATTTCTCGCTGCACTGTACATCATACACTACGTTGTCAAGTTTGTGTTTGGGGGTTTTGTCTTTGGGATGAACCAGTTTTTGTCTGAGTGTGTTGCTGGGTCTGAAGTAAGCTGGGATGTCGTGCTTGGAAAAAACTCTCCTGAGTTTCTCTGATAAACCTGCTACATAGGGGATGGCAATTTTGTTCCACTTGTTCTTCTTATCCTCCTTAGTTGGTGCCTGATCTTCTTTTCTGTGCATCTTTGCTGACTTGATAAAAGCCCAATTAAGATAACCACATGTTTTAAGAGCTTTCTTTACATGTGTGTGTTCCTTCTTTTTCTCTTCAGGCTTAGAAGGAATATTTTTGCCTGGTGTTGTAGGGTCCGGATTACTCCACGTTTGTGTTCCAGAGGGTGGTGGGAGTAAAAGAGGAGGTACTAGTCCGTATGTGTGGGCTTCCGGTAAACTTTAATGTTGAGGTTTCCATTCCCTTCAATGTGCACGGCACAGTCCAGGATTGGCAAACAGTTATTCTTTGTGTCTTCCCTGGCGAACTTTATGTTTTTATCCACAGCATTGATGTTTGCAGTGAAGGATACTTCTTGAGTTTTGATTTTGACCCAGGTGTCGTCCGCATATCTGTAGCAGTGGCTGGGCCAATTTGTTTCCCCTCTCTGATATGTTTTTATATACATATTATGCTGACTTTTTAACTCTCTCATGCCCCTCTTCATATTTTAATGTGAATGGAAGAGTGAAACTTGAAAATGACTGAATTTTAAACAAAGAGGGGCACAAGAAGTCAGCTTCAAAGACGGCAGCTCCTGCAAAGTTAAGTTTGCAAGGGTCCCAAAATTTATCCACTTAAATTGGGTAAATTGCCGACAAATGCTAAACTACGTACAGGCAAATATTCATTCTGTGGTCTCTGGTCACCAGGTCGCTTCCAGTTTTAAAAGCAACCACAGTACAGTGAGTCTGTTGAACCAGTTTGTCTGAATTCAGATGACATAACTAAAGCAGTCAGACACAGTTTAAGTGATTTTATTTAAAAAAAACAAACCCCAAAACAAAACAAAAACAAGCTGCTTTGATTTTTAATGTTGAATTAGAAGAACTACAACAGTCACCCACTGCCAACTAATCCCAACAGTCCTGTGAAGGTGTGCTGCGTCTCACTTGGTAGAACTCTGACTGCAGCAGCAGACATACCAGTGCGCACTTTTCAAAACGCAGTGACTCCAAAACATAAAGCTGGACTCAGATTACAAGACCTGTAGGTCAACTCTTTTCTGTCATTTTCTCCACAAAGTCAGTTTGGTTTAACCGCCTCATGTACTTAACAGTAATCACATAGGAGCTGTAACTGAAAGAGGTGGTGCTGGTGTAGTCTTTTATGGTCGCAGGGGTTTCAACCTGCTAAAATCGGAGCCTAATTAAGTGTCAGAATCATGTCAAAATTAACACAAAGCACTGAGATTAAGCCCAAAGGAGGCTCTGTGGATTATTATAACCGAGCTACCCATGGTGCAGAGCATAGGGCTGGAACACAGTAAGAGAAAACGAAAAAGAGATCAGGTCTACGTGCAGCAGAAATCTGGAACTGGTCAGACTGAACTAATTCACAGCAACAGAGTGAGAGTACTACATCTGCTGGGTGGAGTTTCCATTCCAAGTGTTGTTGTCATCCTCACTGTCCTCCTGAGTCCTGAGCCTACAGACTTTACCATCTTTCTTGAATTCCTTGGGACGGTTCTCCAACGTGTGTTTGGAGAGATTTCCCCTGAAACAGAAGATAACAGGACAGTAAGCCAGTTACCACATTCAGAACATAAACTCTCCAAATCAAGAAAAAGAAACAATACATCTGATTTCTAAAAATGTCATTATATTAAGGCCATCACACGTTGTGAAAAAACAACAACATTTAGAATTTTCCCGATCCAAACTTGAAAATGAAGAAAGAAAAAGGAAGTCGACATCAAGCGATAATGAGTTGGTCTTGATGTTTTTAGACAAGAAAAGAAAAAACTGAGATTCTGGGTCATCCGATTCCCAACAGGAGGCTTCAGCAGGAACATCATGGAAGCTTTTGTATATATTTCAGTGCACATCTGAGGAGGCAGAGAAGTAATTTCACGAAGCTGAGTGACCCAGAGCAGCATGTAACTGTGTGTCTGACTTAAAACTATTTGTATATTCAGTAGCAGCGCGTGTTTTGTGCTACCTGCACACTTGTTGTCAAATACAGTGGTCTGATTGGTCAGATCAGAAATACTGTGGAAAAAAGCTTGGGTCAAAAAAAGAAATGCTGCAAATATGTCTAATGACACTAAGCGCTGGATATGAAAGACTGCGTTAAGAACAATTAAGTACAAAAAATATTTTTAAAAATAGGAAATATCTGCACAAATGTTACACACAGGTGTAAAGGCCTTTAATGTGAATTTCTGCAAGAAAAAAAAATACAGAAAATCAGGGATTCAATGTTAGCCCTAAGAAGAACCTCATTAAAGTCGCATTATATGCGCATTAATGATGTGTGCTTCTACATGTGTGGAGACTGCAAAATGGCCCTCACCTCTTTGCCTTGTTTGAGGCTGATGAGCTGTTGTAAGAGCTGGACTGTTGAGCGGGACCCCTGGGCTGGACAGATGCTGCAGAGGGGGGTGGTGTTGCAAACACAAAGGAACTGAGAAATCTCCATACAGCCAGCAGAGGGTAGAGGAGTGTACCCAGAACTGCCCAAATGCCACCACCAGAGGACTGGACCACTGTGTTTGCAGGCCTGCCTGATTGCTGAGAAGAAGAGTTCATACACTGTCACAGGAGGTGCATTTAAAAAGGATTCACCTTTTCAAACATGCACACACGTGTGTGTGTGTGTGTGTGTGTGTGTGTGTGTGTGTGTGTGTGTGTGTGTGTGTGTGTGTGTGTGTGTCCACACTTTTCTATGTTAAACTGAGTTTGTGCATAAATCAAAGAAAATTTCAGAGAATTTCATGGCTCCCTCTACATGTTAATCTGCGTTTCTCTTCACCAGCATGTCTTTATCCTGTCTTCCTTCTCTCATCCCAACCGTCACAGCAGATGGCCCCGCCCCTCCCTGAGCCTGGTTCTGCTGGAGGTTATTTTCTGTTAGAAGCGAGTTTTTCCTTCCCACTGATGCCAAAGTGCTTGCTCATAGGGGGTCATGATTGTTTGCTTTTTCTCTGTGCGTATTATTTACCTTGCAACATAAAGTGCCTTGAGGCGAGAGTGGTTCAGGGTCAGCTTACCTGCCCAGATCCACTCTCTGTACTGGAAAGCCCCCCGTATAATAGAATACTTAACATAAAAATATCACCACAGCAAACCCTGAAAAAACGGGACTTTGATATCTTTTTGATTCTGTCTATTTGGTCTCTTATCTTATTGGATGGTGTTGTATGTGTATATACGTTATGTTCACATATGTGTGCTTGTGTGTGAATGTGTACAGTTTTGTATATGTATGTGCATATTTGCATGTACATTATACTGTATGCTATATACTCTTACATGTCTTACAATTATTTTTTTTAAATGTTTTCTTTCTATTTTAATTATTTTATTATATTATCCCTCTGTTCAGCACTTTGGCCGACACTTGATGTCTTTTAAATGTGCTATATAAATAAAGATGACTTGACTTGAAAGTAATTTCTTAAGCCTGGAGAACTACTGTTCAAGACCACTTTAAAAATACTGGCAATGGTCCCATTGTTCTCAAGTTATGACATTTACAAGACTTGCAGAAAATTTGAGCTCTAACCTTGGCATGAGATTTAAACTTATCTGAGATTTTTCACCTATAGTATCAATTCGAAACTACTAAATCACTTTGTTCTTAGTTATCACATTCACAAACTTGGACGTCCAAGTTTGTGTCCGTCCAGGATGACAATACAAGCCTTTTATGGCTGAGGGGTAAAAAGTTACAAGGTAATACAGTACATTCCTTCAGAAAAGCAATGACAAGTGACTTAAGACATTTGAGTATCGTAAATGTTTGCCAACCATAAACCATAAACCTTCACAGACATATTGCCAACCATAAAAGAAATCTGCAGTTTTTAATTTAGTCACGGTTTGTAGAAAGAAACTTTTTTTTAGGTTTAGCAGGGATTTCCACGTTCTGCTAAACCCACTGAGGTGAAACTTCAATTGTTGCCAAGGAAACCTGTTAAGGCCAAGGCTGAATATGAAACACTCTCTGAGTAACTTAGTAACTAACTACTAAAAAGTAGACTACTCACTGGCAAAAGAACAACAGAAGCACTTGGAGCCAGGTCCAGTTCTAGCAGAGTCTTGTTTAGGTCTTCACTGGTGAACTCGCGCCGAGGGAACATGGTTGCGAGGGAAAAGTTTCCATAGCGGTTGCCAACTTCCTGAGGACACCAGGACAAACATTTTACAGTGACTTAGCATGAAGTGATACAGTGCTGGGTGACATGCTTTAACATACTCTGAATAATGAAGAGCTTTGTTTAACACACAGGCTACAAAAATCAGCAAGCAGAAAATCATCCTGATGCTTGAATTAGCAAAATGCAGCGCAACCACACATACATTACACACTACAGCTGAAAGCGATACATTTAGTACCACAGTGTACATTCACCAGAAGGCCTGCCTCTGTCTCTAGTTGTTAACACTGTGCAAACACTATCCCTGGTGCCCCGAATTTTTATTTTGGATGATTATAATCATGTATGTCTTAAAAAACACCCAAAAACATTAACATTTATCAGCATGTCTTTCTTAAATCCCTCAAATTCCCACCTCTGGGATTGACACATCATAACTGTGTACATCTGCCTAGCTATAAAACTGTTGTCAGGAGGGAAAAAGTCCAAATCATGTACATTAAGAACTGGAATGAGGAAGCAGTGCTCTGCCTGTGGGGCTGTTTACAATGCACTGAATGGGATGTCTTCAAGCAATCTGGGCAGTTTTGTCCACAATTTAAAGAATGAGGCATCAGAGCTGCAGGCAGCTACCAAAGAGCTGAAAGGAGAAATCCTAAAGGCTAAACAAGCCGACAAGCCTTTCATCGATCCGCAGAAATTTGAGGAGGAGAAATCCAGCTGGCTGTGAACAAAGACTTTTTTTTTCCTCTTCGAAAATAAAATGTCTGCAATAACCTGGACTTGGCTTGGTATTGCAAAAGAAAAAAAAAAACACTGTAGGAATCCAGGATGCAAAGACCAGTGCTCAGGATATTTTAGAGGGTATTAATTCACACAGAATTTGTCAATGCTCTAAACTGCTTTTATAACAGTTGTGAGAAATTTCTTCACATTCAGGTAAAACGTGCCGTGGACCAGACAATATAAGTGGACAGCTCCTTAAACAGTGTGCGAAGGAGCCGAGTCCAGTGTTTCACAACATCTTTAATCAGTCCTTAAAATGACAACATCTCCTTAGTGTCTGGGAGGATGCTGTAATTGTCCCACAGTCATCCAGGTAAGAGACTATGTTGGATCCTCTACGGTTTGCTTACAAGCCCCACAGAGGAGTGGAAGATGCTACATATCTTAACTTGCTCCTTAAACACTTGGAAAGAGAGAGGTGTCCTGCCAGACCTATTGATTTGTCTTCTGCTTTTAGTAGTTCAACCGCATGTTTTAAGTCTCAGGAGCTGACCCAATTACAGATGCAGCACACCAGAGAAATCCAGTCATGGTGCATTATAAAGCCACTTTGACTGAACCTCTGTCTCTCCCCGTCTGTGGCTCATTATGCTCCCTTGGTTATGTTCTGTTATGGCTTTTGTAACATTTAAACTGTGTTTGAGTTTCTTTACTTTATTTCATTAATATATCTTACAGCCTTTAAAAGCCTGTGTGTGGTCTCCCAGTTGTCACATCCTTTGAGCAGATTGTGACAAAGATAACCTGATCCTAATATTTATATATTAGGATATCTGGACTGCTCAACAAGAGCAGAGAGGATGTGAAATTCAAGAATCAAGACAGACCTGAGCAGCGAAGTTTCGAGCCTCCTGCAGTCTACTCTGTGAGGGGAACTGGTTGGTGAAGGAGGAGCCGTCTGGGAGGCGGAACTGGATCCTTGCTATGGTACTGAAGAAGAGCGAGGAGAGGATAAAATTTGAGCGGCATATGCATATACACATGCACATCAGACTGTTCACAGAACTGCTAGAAGCTACAGTCAAGCAAAGGTTAGTCCTGCTGAATGGGAAACCACTTTTTAGGGCCACAGCCTGGGAACTTTGTATTGTACACGTATGAATTAGTCATGTTTTCGATATGCATTATATTGACTTTTAACAATTCAAGTTAGCAAATTGCTATAATAGTAGTTTATCTATTGAAATAATGCAAGCTGTGGAAACTCCATGTGGTTACCTAAAGTAAACTCAACTTGATACATTTTTCATACTAATTTATAGTTGCACTAAAAACAAAAACACATAATTTCTCCACTTTCACATTAGTTTTTTGGATTCAGTCTTAACATTTTTTTTTAATCTTCTGTAATTGCCTCATGTCTCATTCACTTTTGTTGTGTAATACGTGCAACATCCATCCATTGGTGACATCACTTATAGAAGGCTTTCAGCGGTGGCGGTGGTGTGACGAGGCGAGACCTTCACATTTACACAAACTGAAATGCGTGAGTTGTTATCTAACTACTCTTCACATTTTCAAATACATAAAGTACACTCTCCCTCCCTCACAGTGATTAAAAAGCAGCAATTATTCCTAACACAATCAGGTAATGTTTACAGTTTCAAATTCACATCATTTAGTCCCAACAGGATACAAATGTCATGAGCACCAAACTTGTGTTTTACATGAAGAGGGTGATCATCCTCGCTTTCATTGTGGCCAAACTTAGCCAAGTCAAAGATTTCCAAACCAAGTCATCTAAAGAATCAGTGGATATTTTAGATTTTGTTTCACTGCACACTACTGCATGACATTTGTGCTGTTTCACAGTGCATTTTACAGGAGAAAGCGGCATCAACAGAAAAGAATTAGATAAAATATTAAAAGAATGACAACTCAAGTGGGAAACACCACTGGGTTTCAGCCATCACACTTATTAGTGGAAAATTTCCTTTTCAACTAATTTCCTACAGAAGGCTATAAGAAAAGAGCTTTCATCATTATTTTAACATTTATATGTCAGCTATTCTGCAGCTTTAATTTTTCTCAAAACATACTTGTATCAGACACAAGCCCATTTAGATTAGCAACTTTTCGGCTTGTAACAGTGGATTTTTTTTTGTTTAACACCAAATCACAGTTTATACTCCTAAAATACAGAAGTAGGAGAAGCAGAGTACGTGTGGATATATAATGATCATATTAACACATTTAATCCCTATTGAATTTTTTCTCTTTTATTTTGTTGGTGAAACTACAGTTTCTACTGACAGCTCATAACGTGCTTTTGTCATGACTTATATTTAAGGTATCACTTAATTTTAATATATACATACATTACATACATTTGATGTATTCGGTAATTAGATTTATTTACAATATAAAAACAAGTGTGTTCAGTATAAGAACTAGACACGTAGAATGATTTGCCCATGTCGTCTCTGTGTGCTGCTGGGCTCTGAATCGGAGGGCAGCTCCTGAAATCACAAAGAGAAAACAATGATCACAAATAGTTAACGGTTTGTCCCTCAAAGCTGAAATAAAGTCCATCCCTGTCCTGAAACAGACCCTGATTTTCTCAGCTCTTAGATTTTTACTAATGCAGACTATTTTACCTATTTTGAGCAAAGATCAGGCCAGTCAAGCATAGTCAACATTAAAAAAACACAAAAAAAAACTGAGCAAAACATACAGAGATATTAACACAATTATATTAATCTGCTGCCCTAGAAGTTGACAACATGCACTACCAGTCAGAAGTTTGGACATACTTTCTCATTTATCCATTTTTCTTTATTTTCGTGACTATTTACATTGTAGATTCTCACTGAAGACATTAAAACTATGAATGGACACAGTAGTAAACAAAAAAAGTAAGAAATACCTCAAAACGTTTTATATTTTAGACTCTTCAAACAGCCACCCTCTGCTTTGCACACTCTTGGCATTCTCTCAATGAGCTTTATGAAGTAGTTACCTGAAATGGTTTTCCAACAGTCTTGAAGGAGTTCCCAGAGATTTTTAATTTCAAACCCCTCCTCTACATTAACCCATTCACTCAGCAAAGCAGTGGGCAGCTACCAGTCCAGCGCCAGGGGGAGCAATGTGTAGAGACAAAACCTTGCACAAGGATGCCTCAGGGTAGCCTTGCATTCAGTGCATTAGTACCCACGACCTTCCAATCATGGGGTGACCACTCTACCTACTGAGCTATCCCTGCTCGATGCTAAGCACTTGTTGGCCTTCTTGCCTACACTGTGCAGTCCGCCTCATCAAAAAACCATCTCGATTGGGTTTAAGTCACTGTGGAGGCCAGGCTGTATGGCACAGCACTCCATCACTCTTCTTTTTTGTCAAATAGCCCTTACACAGCTTGGTCACAAAAGGTTGATTCTGTTCTTCGGGACGTAGTGTTTTCAGGGGGAGAAACGTTTGGTCACTCATCCAAGTCACTTCTTCAGTCTCAGCTCAGGCCAGTGGACACTCTTTCAACGATGAGGAAGTACACATCCTGGACAGGAGAGAATACTGGTTTGTGCGGGGAGTCAAGGAGCCAGTTACGTGAAAAGGGAAATACCCTCTCTGAATCAATTAGGGGGCCTAAGGGTACATCTTTAACCATCTTACAATGCTGTGATTGCAGCCATTCCCCAACTCTCTGTGAATGGTACTCATGGCCATTGATCAGTGGTCTGTGATCAGTAGTTGTTAATCAATGGTCATGACAATTTGCATATTTATGATGAAGGAACTGACCTCACAGCCCGTTGTTCATTAAGTGGTGCTAGTTTCAGTCATTGCGGTAATGTTCTGTTTATAAAGTTGGAAACCTGCAGTCATCTGAGACTGAAGAAGTCACTTGGATGAGTGACGAAACGTTTCTCCCACTGAAAACGTCCAGATGAACAGAATCAACTTTTGGAAAGTAAAGGGTGGTTACTTTCAGGAATCTAAAATATCAGACTTTTTTTTCTTTAAATCAATTTCTTCTTTAATACATAATTCCATATATCTTGCTTCATATTTTTGATGTGTTCAGTATGTATCTACATTTTTGTAATAAAAATATTAAAATGTGGTGCTGAAAAATTTCTCAAAATTTTGTCCTTTTAAAAGACTGATTAAGCACTGTACCGATTAACTTTTTTTGAGCAGAGTAAAGACCCTTTCACACCGGATGTGTAAAATTCATGTGAATATTTCAAGGGTAAAAATATTTTGGGATCCGAATAAACGGATCCGACAATCAGATCACTGCATTTGGCAACAATTGCACTCATGGCTCAAATTGCGCAATTGTACTGAATATGCAATGATATAAAAATAATAAAATAAATACAGTTTTACCTCAGAAACACAGCTGAACACTACTCCAGCTCACTCGTCTCTCTGAAATGATTTCTCTACCTCCTCATATGTGATTCCAACTCTGCTAAGAAGAGTTCAAAGTGCCTCACTAACATCCTAAATCATGCAGCCTACACAATGGCACCCTGACTGCCATTAGGTACCAGAATGAAATTCTTAGACCCATCGTCAGACCCCTGCACTGCTACAGTGGGTCCTGGGTTCCTCCTGGTGCCGCGTGTGGTGAGAGTATACAGGCAGTTCCTGAAGAATTAAGGAATTGATGCCATTGAGTGGCCACCAAGCTCGCTTGATTTAAATCTAATTGAAGAGCTCTGGGAAATGATGCTTTGCTGACACTGCCAGGTTGCACCTGACTGTCCAGGAGCTCAGTGATGCCCTGTCCAGGAGCTCAGTGATGCCCTGGTCCAGAATTAGGAGGAGATCCCCAGGACACAATCTCTTATACTCTGATCTAATACAATGACAAATTACTGAACTTGGTTACACGGTAATGCTTGCTGTGCTTCCACAGAACACAGCTTTCCACAGAAATGATCTCAGACCAGCAAAAGTCTCTGATCAGTTTACTGTCAAAGGCCAAAAATGTATCCACAATGTGTAAACCATGAGAAAATAGCTGCTGGCTTCTCAGCTTGCCTATCTCAAGTTATTATAAATGGGAGACAGAAACACCTGTAAAACAGAGACAGCATCAATCTCCTATAAGTGCGAAACAAGCGCAGCTTGTGGTGAAAATAGCCTCACTGCAGTAAGTAATGTAAATGATCAATGCAAACGGATGAGGAGCTTTATGATAGTGCTCTATGAAATGAAAGGAGAGGTCAATTTGCTTTGTTAAAGTTTAATTTTGTATATAGTTTTAGATGTGATAAGGCCTTGATGTAACGCCAGTAGTCACAGATTGAGTTTACCAGGCTCTAACTAGTTTTAATGTGAATTACAAACTGAGCTGTAACAGCTCAGCCACACATAGACAGCTTTAGTTAAACCCTGTTTCTTTTATTTTATGGTTATCAGCTGTGTTTTCAGTATTTAATCCATATTTCAATTAATATCACCAACAGTGTGTGAATTCAGCCCAAAATACTGTGGGAAAGTGTTCAGATTTCTCAGTAATTTATCTTTGGTTAATGCTGTGTTTTCCCTGTCATTAGTAGCAAATTCATAATTACATTTAATAGCAAGTTCCGCTTGCTATCACTTACAATAAACGCACAGTAATGGTTACTGACTGGGGCAAGCTTAATAACTTCTCAGTTTCTCATGTCAACAGTTTCAACACCTGCTGCAGATCTTCACATCCTTCAGTCGACTACAGTATGACCAGCAAAGCTAATAGCTAAACCACAGCACTGACATTTAATTAACATTTAAGCACAACAGGGTGATTTCCTTAGTTGGGGTAAGGAACTTCATTTTTGTGCATGCATTATCTACCCTGGCTTTCCTCTGATAGCTGACTGTGCGCTAGCTAGCTGAGACTCATTACTGAACAGATAACAAATTACACATTAAACTTACCAAAATTGATGATGATGCCTCGGGTCCCTTTTGTCATAAGTCCAGTTTGAAACAAACAGGAAATCAAATGTAAATGTGGGGTGGCTGTCGCTCAGGAAGTTGAGCAGGTCATCCACCAATCAGAAGGCTGGTACTCCAGTCTGCATGCCTAATCCCAAGTTGCTCTCTGATGCATCCATTAGAGTATAAACCACTATGAATGTGTGTGACTGTTAGATAGAGAACACTTACACAGAAAAGTATAGAAAAAAAAGTGCTTATTTGAATGGGTGAATGAAACAAGGTGTACAAGGCGCTTTGAGTGCTCAGGTAGAGCAGAAAAAGTGCTATATAAGAAGTCAATTTACCATATAATGCTGGATCTCCTCTCAGTGCCCCTACCTAACCTGCAATTCTCAAACTGGCAGTGGATCTTTTGGGTTCTGTGTGGGTTTTGTGGATGCTCATTCAGATTGTGATTAGAGCTCAAGGCCAATATTGGCTATTTGAAAATATATTGGTATGAGAAAATTAATAAAGTAAAAAAAGGACTGGATAAACACCCTTCAACCATATTATACTGTATAGTTTGTCAACCAGAGGGCACTTTGCAACTTCCATGTTGGTTTTGAACGCCACAATCGCAAAAAGCAGCTGATCCAAGCACAGTCAGTCAAGTAATCGACAACTTGTGACAATAAAAGAAACGTATTTTTAAATACCATTGTCATCTTATTAAGGACTCATATGTAACTACGCAACAAATGTTGAGATATTTAGGTTTTATTAGTTTGAAAGGAAAAATATTGGCTCACATATCAAATTTTAACTGACCAAATATCTACATCAGTCTTAAAAATCAGTCGGACTCTAAACGGGATGTGAAGAGATTGTTCGCTTCACCTATGAGTTGACTCAATAATGCATGTGATTGCTGTACATTACTTCTTAAATTTAAATGGTCCACTCACCTCCTCTCCCTAACTAATGCCTCCTTCCTGGCCTCCTCTTCTGCCTGCCTGGCCTGCAGCAGCGCCAGCTTAGCAGCCTTTTCATCCTCTCGTGTTTTGGTGTAGCGCGCTGCTCTGTCAGCTCGGTCCTGCAAAACACAAAGACAGGAAGCAGATACAGCCAGAGTTGGGCACAACACATTCCAAAGTAATGCAATACTGTAGTAACAATTACTTTTTGCAATAAATAAAAAACAGGATAAAATAAAAACACTATATTTTCTCTCCAAACTGGGAAATCACTCTGTTACAGCCACCAATTAAATAAAACCAATAGTACAAAAATACAGGCAGTCACCAGCCCTACCCCTCAGCCCCTAGTACACACACCTATGGTATTCATTTCAAAATCCTATGTCACCTTGTTCTCAAGTTATCAAATTCACAAGATCTTTGGAAAACTTACTCTGACGTTGAGGTCAAAATTCAAACTCGTCCAAGATTTTTAGTAGATGTACCTATTGTATTCATTTGAAGTTCCTAGATCGCATCATTCTCGACTTACTGCATCTAAAAACTTGGGTGTCTACATTGCTCACTCAGCAGGGTGACAACAACACCCCACCAGGTTTTTACAGCTGAGGGGTAGAAAGTGAAGAACGCAAAACAGAATGTCTGTGAATGTCCTCAGTGATCCAGGTCATCGTAGTCTAAGAAGCTTGGAAAGAAAAGCGTCTGGAATTTCTTTAAGTTTCCTTGAAGACGATTCACCTCACATCCGAGAAGCTTCTTTGGTTCTAAGAGCAACTGGTGGAGAGTCCCAGATTTTAAGCCCTATGGGAGCGTCCCAAGAGGGTCATGGACCTGGCGGTCCATCTGCATCTAAAGGACAAAGGTCACTCTTTCGAGGATGCCAGTGTTCACATTTTGGACAGAGAAGATGGAAAGAGGAGTGAAAGAAGCCATCTATGTCCACTGTGAACGACCATCTTTGACCGGAGGGCGGGGCTTACGACACCAACTGTCTGCCATCTATAATCCAGTTTTTAGATCCTTTCCCAGACGCCTTTACACCCAGGATGTGAGTGGGGCCAAATTTCAAATATCAGATTATAAGATGTTTACAACAACTGAAATAAAATTTACTGTCAAAACCTTTGGTCTTTCACAGTAAACTCTACAACTGTCCTTAGCATGGGAATTCAAACAGACGTTAGAAAATCTGTTAAGATGTCTGTAATCCAGTAATCTAACACATGACTACACTTAATCACCTCTACCAGGTTATGTTTTTGGTTGCATCTACGCTTGTGTCATTCTGTCTGTAAACAAGACAGCTGAAAAAGTTTTGAATGAATTTGAAAAAAATTCTGTAGGGGTGAACAATGGGGTCATATAAACAATCCATTAAAATGTGCCTTACATCCACCGAAGTCTTCACGCTCAACTTACTGATACATTTTTTTCAGCAGTGACACAAACTGTTATAACTGAAGAGACTAGGATTCCTACAAGTGTGCTTTGTGTGTAGTCAACATGTTGAAAATACTGTATAAAGACTTTAAATATGTCACATTTGAGCTCTGATGCCTTTCTTTCAAGTTTCACCCAAAACAAAATGAAAACACATCTATCCATTTTCTTTCCTGTCACAGAGCTGACACAGCAGGGGTGTTTCAGGACTTTCTGTGTTAGCCCTTCCACAGACTTCCAGCCTGTACAAGTGTGTACTGACCTCTCGCTCCATTACAGCTGGGACCACAATGGGATAAACAGATATATACTGCAAGTAGTGTAGAAATGTTTAGCTGATTTAGAGTTTAGAAATGTGTAAACATAGAATCTAGAATTATTGTAGAGACACTGACACTGCCCTCAATGTAATAAAGGCCTGATTGTGTCATGAACTCAGGAGTATAGGAGACCCTCCCTAGTTGAACTGTGAAAGTAAAGCAGAGAGGAGTTAATGCTGAGTGGAAATTCCCCAGAGAATGTTTGGGTGGGGGTCTCAACATTTGTAACTGGATAACTGTGGTCTGGAAGGGAGATAGGTTTTATGACCTCTAGGGAGTCACCTACACCCACAGTGTTTTAACTGTCACGCACACACATCCACACGCACACTCACTCACAAGCACTCACATAGACATGCGGGAACGCGCACATGTAGGCATTCATGTGCTCGTGCACATAGACACACAGACAGCCCACCGTGGGGGTTTTATGATAGGGTCGCCCCTACAAAACTGTGTTTCACAGACAAAGGGGTGAAGATTTTGCAGGGGGGCACCGGCCTGGCAAGTCTTCCCTTCTAGAAGATGCATGCTTAAATGAAGACGAATAAAGATGAATAAAGGTTTTGTGAAATAACTACTGAGTTCCGGTGCAGTCTCTGGATGCCTCGACGAATAAAAGAACCGGGGTAAAACTGATTTAGCAACAGTAGCTCAACACATGCTAAATAGAGCATAAGTTAACTTAACAACTATCTAAAGGTCTGATGATGTAAAACACAAAGGACAGATTTCTCTGAGGGGGACATGATTGTTTTTGGTATTCCTTCCAAACAGAGCAGATAAGGTTACCATAGCAATTTGCTGTTTGACCCGTTCCCTGGCAGCCTTCTCCTCTGCCTTCTCTCTATTCCTTTCATCTAAGAGTCGCTTGGTTTTCTCCTCTTCTTGTTTCCTCTTGAAGTCCTGCATGTCTTTCCCCACTTTCCGTCTCTCCATTTCCTTTCTGATTTCATTCTGAATCAGAGACAAAACACAGGTAGGTTAAGCGTGGAGTGGCTCATATTCTAAAAAGACATCATCCAACACACTACTAACAGGTCAGAGCTGTAACAACATGTTTAAGAGGAACACTACAAAACAAATTAGTCACCAAATGAAAACAAAGCACTACTGACAATACCCATGATATGAAAAGTGCCGCTGTCTATAAAAACAAGGATTAAACACAGTTTAAAGCTGTTCTGCACCAATGGGGGTTGATCGAGCTTTGAAAGCTTGTGTTACTAATTCCTACAGGTGTTCAAACTTTTCCGGGTCACTTACAGCCCCCTCTGTCTGCAGTGTTTGAACACACTGTGGTACCAAACGCTCGTGAGCATCAGTTAGAACATGTAAAATGTCAGGTTTGAGTTTGATATTTTGGTCTCATCCGTCTCATAGGCACTTATTTACATTGGAAGACGAGTAAATTTCCTTTTTCAGGTTGCACAAAAAGTGTTCTACTGATGGACATTGCAGGGCTGTACTTTATTGTAATAGCACATATTGTTTGTCAGTATTTACTTGGTTAATTTTTCAGGCAGTTTCATTTTTGATTTATATTCGTGTATCTTAAAGTAACATAAAAGTGCTTTGTTTTGATGTTGCTGAGAGCATTTTTTTGGGTTAGTATTTTAAAATCAAAGTACTTAATAAGAAAGACCTCAATGTTACCTTGTTCACATATTTTTTCATGTTATTCAAAAGAGTTGATATTTGATGAAAGTAGTTGTGTTTGTGTTGCTACTGTTATGGCCCTATCGGGGCCTCCTCCTGAAGTTGCCTGTGTGGTCCTACCAGCTCTCCTGCCTTAGGTGCCACCTTTTTCTTTTGTACAGCTGCCTTCCATCAGCAAGTAAAAGTATTTCAGCCAAGAGAAAGGTGAGCTCCGGTGCCAGAGTGCCATGCGAGTGACTGCAGCTGGTTGTTTGGTCCTGCTTGGTGGCTTGGCTTAGTTACTAACCCTTTTCTGACTTACTTTTCAGTTTACTGACCGACGCTTCAGTTTTGTTTTGTTTCTTTAAATGGTGATAGCGGCTTGTCAGTCTCTGTTAGTTGAGTTATTAATAGAACCTTTAATAAAACTCTTTAATTTAACCATTTTGCTTCTCTGTCTCCTTTTTTTGTTACTTTCTCTCATTGCCTGGACCCTTTTAGGGGAACGTAACACTACAGTGACTGCCTTTTTTTATTTATTTGAAATGACTTTGACAAAGATGTTAATTTCTCCATTGCTTTTGAACTTAAAGAGCAAGTGTTTTTGTTTCCTCTAGTGAAATGTAGCCCTTTATTTTGGTTGAGATGTTAAGCATTTAACAGTTTGGACTGTTTACTGTTAGTTCCTACAATTAAATTCAGTCTTAAAATATCACAAATATAGTCTGGTTTTTAGTATCACAATATATCGTATCGTCTCCCCTGTACTGTGATATATATCACATCGCCAGATTCTTGCCCCTAGTAATAAGTAATCCATTTCCTGTATTGGAGTCGGGGGGTGGGCAGGTAACTCTTTCACTGTTTGTCAGTGACAGAAAAAGCTGTTCAGGTTGTTGGTGATCTGTTGGTGGACTGGGTGGCATTAGGTTTGTAATTGGTTAACTTCTCGAGCCCTTTCCAGACAGAAGGAGAGTCATAAGCTGACGGCCACTGTATTTTCTTCTGTCTGTTTAGCCTCTCATACTGCCTTGCTAAACCTTTACTTTGATGACTTGAAACAGTCGCTGTCTCAACTCTGAAACACTTCCTCTTTTCTTGCTTTGGCCTCTTTAGCTGGGAACCAGGACTTGTCATTATAACTCACCCTGGTGCATGATGGTATACAGCTGTAGGCATTGTTTACTATGACGTAACAAAATGTTGTCTTCTCTGGTCAGACATTTAATAACTTGTCTGTATTTGGGGAGTTCCTGTCTGAGGTTTGCTTTGTTAAAATCACCAAGAACAATACCTGAGGATTCTGGGTTTGTTCACTCCACACGCTGGCCTTTGGAGAAATAATAACGCTGAGAAAAATAATTGAAGTATACTCAAAACAGGGAAAAAGGTTTGCAGTGGATGAAACAAGTTTCTAGGTAAGGATAGCAATGTTATTAAATAACAGTCACATGGTTAAACCAACCACTGCCTATATAAACACAGATTCCTCCAGCTTTTGTCTTGCTGCAGATCTCCGTGTGCCAATCTGCTCTGAAGAAGTGGAATCCTGCCAGCTGCATCGCAGAGCCCAATATTGATCCGCACAGCTACATTTCCACAAAACAGCCGATGAAGAGGGGTCTCGGTTTTTCCCTCTCAATCGCTGGAGTTCATCTGTTTTATTGTGAGGACCAGAGATGGGCAGTAACACGTTACTGTAATCCGATTACTTTTTTCAAGTAACGACTAAAGTAAGGGATTACTATTGCAAAAACGGTAATAAGATTACCGTTACTTTCCCGTAGGAACGCTGCGTTACTGCGCTACTAAAACCGTGATTTTTTGGCGAGACTGTCTCATGACAGTGACGTAAGTGAGTGCGAGGTTCGTGACAACAGCTGTGTGCAGATCAACAATGGATCATATATCGAGTGCGGGAGAGAGTATGAGCGTGCAGCGTTTAAAGTGTGGAAGTACTGATCTTACTTTGAGTTTGATTACATAAAACGTGGCAAAAACATTAGCGTCCATTGCGCGTGGGAAGAAAACTTCTTTTTACAGCGAAAAAAACCCTAAACTTCCGAGCAAGCACCGAGTAGCTACGACGTAATGGGAAATTCACAGAGAAACTCGCGGATTCTTCCACTGCCCGCTGCGGCACACCTGCACCAGGGTAAACCTCCGCCTTCCCTACTCCTGCTTTACAGGTGAAAATAGAGCAAAAGGACCGCTAGTCTTTGATTTTATTTATTTTCTGCTGTGTTTTACTTGCATCTAGTGAGTGTAAACACACAAAAAAAATATTTTATTTTATGTGCTGGAATGTGCAGAAAATAGGTTTAAATATTAAACAAATTTCTTCCAGTCAGAGAATGTTGCATGTAATTAAATTTTTGCTTGATGCATAAAGTTAAAAGATTAAAACTAATAAAACAAGTTTTAAAAAGGGACTTTTCCATTTGATTACATTTTGTATGATGGATTATGTAGAAAAAGTAGAATTGGGCTGAAAGATCTATCGCTTTATCACCTATTCAGGTTGTAAATCGTGTTTTAAAAAAGTAATTAATTACTTTTGAAAATAAGTAATCAGTAAAGTAACGGGATTACTTTTGGGGGGAAGTAATCAGTAATTAGTTACTGATTACTTTTTTCAAGTAACTTGACCAACACTGGTGAGGACACACTGGAGAGGAAAGAGACACACGAGCACACTGTCTGGCTTTCCTCTCCTACGGTGTCTCACGTTGTGAATAAGAACGGTCCAAATGTTGGCAGTTGAGGTGATGAATGATAGAAATAAGTCTTAATGGGTTGCAGCCCTTATGTTCATGAGCTTATCTCTGGTGTAAGAAGTTCTGGTTGAATGCAAAGCAGAGTTTACGAATAAACAGAGCGCATCAAAACACCACGCCACCTTCACCTTCACTTTGCCCTCGTGTGACCTCAGCTCAAAGGTAATTAACTCATATCTGTTGAAACAACACATTGCTGTTGTAGATGCCCCAGTGGAGCACATGGTGAAAATCCTTCAAGTGTGGTCTGACTGTTCCCTTAGCGTAAACAAAGATAAATGGGCTATGCTATGGCCAGGCATCGGATTTGTTATGTTTCTCTGATATTACACTTTTCACTTTATGTAAGCATCATTGCAAAAAACCAGGGCCTACAAACACTGTGCTCTTTCTGGTTAAACAGTTTTCAGTGTTCAAAATGTCTTACCTCTTCTTCTCCTTTCTTTCTTTGCTCTCGTCTCTCCTCCAGCTTCTTGGTCAATCTGACAAAGTAAGAAAATGATCCAATCAAACATCGAGCTGGTATTTTATCTTTGCAGTCTCATGTCAATCGTAACCCAGTCCCGAAATGCCAAAATTAATTATGATTAAACTTGGCAGTCTGAGTCTTTGTTGTTCTTTGCTGGTTACGTGTAATGCTTTAATCGAGCTATGGCACAGAAGGTTTGGTTGACATCCATCACGCCACACCTTAATACGCTGCCAATATTTCTCCAGGGTTCTAAGCTTGTGTCTTAGAACCCTGGAGAATACTGGCAGCCACCAGTGCTACCCCTGGGCCTCCCAATAGACCCATCTATGATGAAAATGTGAACATTTACAGAAAAGTCGACCTGACTTTGAGGTTAAGGTCACTGGAAGGCAAACTCAGAGTTTTTTGGTAGCTCCACCTTTGCTATCAATTTAATTAAAAAAATAAATAAATAAATAAAAAAATCACATGTTGCCTTGTTCTCGAGTTATCGTATTTCCAAACTGTCCACGTTGCCCACCCGCCCAGTAGGGTTTTGGCAATATCAGCCTTCTATAGCTGAGGGGTCAAAAAAGCAGCGTCTCAGACGTTAAGCTTACAAACACAAAGATCAAAGCACAGCTTCACAAAGCTACTCTCACATTTTTATTAACACTGCAGTGAAACATTAGACTTGATTGTTATTCTGCTGTAAAAGTTGCCATTTTTTGCAATTTAACACAAAGAACATCCTCTGTTTAGATCACACTCAGCCTGACATGCATTTGTGTACCCACCGTTCCACCTTAGCATCCAAGTTTTCTTCACCCTGAGTCGGATGATCTAAAGATGCATTCTCTGGACTTGAGGGAGACACTATGTAGAACAGGGACGCAGAAGAAAAGCACAGAGTTAAGACCTTGTCAGCATGAACACAGTCTGAGCATAATCTTTTCCCTACATCCACACAACCTCGTTAAATTCCTGATCCATCAAAAAATGGAAATGGATCAAAATCTCCACAGCTAGTGGTCTGAACAAGTGACCATTTCAGATCTTCAGTTAACAACGATTGTTTGCTGTATAGCTTCATTAACAGCAGGTATTGCTATCTGAACAGCGATCACACATGATCCCCAAATCTAGGGTGGACTTTTTTTCTGACATGTTTTTTTTTGTTTTTTTTAAGTATGTGGCGCAGGCTCAATCACCTCCTGCTGCTTCTGCTACAGGCTCTGTGGTTTCTGTAGATGATAGAGGCACTGCTGAAGCTGAGGCAGGTTCTGTGGCTGAGCTGGTCGCTACAGGATCATCTGCCTCTGATGACACTGTCCCACTTCCACTCTCCTGAGTGTGCATCTACCAGAAAGCAGGGAGAAAAATCATAACACAAAAAAATTATTTGAATTAAATATTTCGTGTTAACCAAGAAACATTACATGTATTTGGTTATTACCAATACTGATAATTTAGAGCAGCTGTGGCATTCTTCAGGAAATTCATGTCCCAGCTTACATAGTAACTGGTATCCTTACAGCACAACCTTCCAAGTCGTTGTGCTATCTGTCAACGCTACGTGTAGTTACATTTCTCAGGAGGTACACGCCAGGTTATGTACAAGGCTGCTGCGTTTGGTGGGGCTCTCCTTGTGGTGTAAATTACGACGTAGATCTGACACAGAAGTATAATTCATGTGTAACATTGGGTGGTGGTCTAATACATTTGATGAGCACTGTATATTATGAAACTCACTACTGGAAGGGCTATAAAATCATACGTGCTCAACCTCACAACATATGGAACTTTAACGTCATGAGCAGATAAAAGAACCTCAATTCCACTGCAAAAGCAGCAACTTTTAACTAACATCAATATAATGTTGCACTGATACAGTGTGCAGCATGACTGTGCAAACAAAAATGACCTGTCACCTCATTACAAAGGCCAGAGTGTGAGTCTTTAAAGGGTCTCTGGCACAATCTCTCTACCAACGGGATACCAAGTACTGACAAAGTATGGTTGATTTCTGCTGCCATCTTCATTTAAAAGAATTTGTCATGTGCACACAGACACACACAAACATCACATTGCTGAGCTGCAAAATAGAATCACGACTCCAGGAACAGTTATTTCAAAAAAATAATTAACAGTAGGGTTGCCCGTAGCTGTAAAAGTAACTGTACATAATTCACACATTGCATCAGTACCTGATCAACTCTGTTGATTCTCTTTATCAGTTCTTCAGCAGACACACTTCCAGCGATGACCTCCAAAGGAATCCCGTTCTCTCCAATGAAGAAGCTCGATGGTACGCACACCACTGGATCTTAAGGGTGGTTTTGTTAAGGCCCAAGTTTCAAGCAACTCACATGAGTGATGTGAACTGACTGAGTCTTTAAATAGCACACATCATTTACATTAAAAGGGTTTCTAGTGGATTCTAGTCCACAGGCATACAGAGCAGAAAGGGTTGCCAATAAACACAATACACCAAAACAACACCAAACATTTGAGTACGCCTGCTGACCTACGAGACTTTGTGAGGGTAGCATGAATGTGCACAATCTTTACTGCATTTCCTTCTAAAAATGACAATACGATAACTGACATTAAGAACTGCAAAAAAAATGTGCTCATTCATTCAAGCCCGACGTTACTTATTCCTGTCATTAGTTACAAGCAGATGGATCTTGGTAGCAGGTTCTCATCATTACTCTCATTATTTTCTTTGAAGGCTTTAAACCTTACCATCTCAGTTCATATTACACACGTCATTAACACTTCAATTGTCTGACTGATTCTTGAGTGTATCTGAGGAGGAGTTATAATCACGGCTTCAGTCTTGTTGGAGTTTAAAATGAGGGAATTATCGGGATTAATGCGGGATTAACAGTCAACTAGGGTGGACAGCCAATCCAGCTGGTGAGGCTTAAAAGACACTTACAATTAGGGCTGGGCTATATCATACCGTTCACGGTAATACCGGTGTAATTTTGGGCAACGATAGGAAAATGAAATATCGCGATAAAATATGGGTAAAACGTGCATGTTTACATACGCACATGGCGGCGACGCAGAATGAGAAGGGCGAAAGCAGATCGTTAAATGAAACGGATGAACCAGAACTGGTTTGTAAAAATGCTGCAGCTTCAGTGGTGTGAAACTGGTTTAGCTTTCGTCCCTCAGATACACAACAAAGCACTATTTTTGGTAGCGCATGCTAGCGGGCCGTCGTTATTACCGTGTTGCTTGGAAAATACGGCACACTTAAAATCAATCCTTTGATTTTTCTGAAAGTCGACAGAGCCCCTTATAATCCCGTGTGCCTTATGTATGAACTCTGGTTGTGTTTACTGACCTCGAAACGAGTTTATGTACACGGCGCTCGAAAATCTGTCAAATGTTTCAGTACGACTTTGCTAAGCTACGAACCCGCACCGCTTGATGGATTGTCGGAGCATTAAGGCTATCATAGGCAGGAGCCTAGCGGAGTGATACGTAATGTGCTTCAACATCTTGTGTGTGTATAAGCTCTTTTTAAGTTTTGTGGATATTATACATGGTTATGCTGAGGATACGTCGGCCAATTTCCACTGGAAATGCCTTTTGGTTAAACTGTCAGCAAGTAATTTGCATTTGCACTGTTACATTTTTATATAACTTTAATGCACTTAAAAGACAGCTGCTTGTTTAAGTGAAAATACATTAATGGGGTTTTTTGCACTAATAAAGTTGTGGAGTTGTAAAGTATTTTGTCTAGTGTCAATTATATCGTCAGTTATATCGTCAGTTATATCGTTATCGCAAATTTTCAAATGTATATCGTGATAAATATTTTTGATCATATCGCCCTGCTCTACTTACAATCGAATGTCATTGGCTTAAAAATGGTAAAAAACAAAACACCAGAGAAAGATTGAATGATACCAGCTAAAGCAAGCATGTAAAAGGAGAATAACAACAGACCCAAGATGGAACCCTGAGAGACACCGCAGGTCAAACAAGCAGTGTAGGAGGAGAAGCTGCCCTAAAGGAGAACGTCCTTCCAGATAAACAGGGGGGGAAATCAGTCAAGTGCTGAGACAGAAACACCAGCCAAAGCCTTCAGCCTATTAGGTAAAATTAAAGCAATTACTTTATATATTTGTAAGGAGCAACCTGATCATAATGGCAAGGCAATGTTCATTAAAAGAGTTTACTAGGTGCCCAACATTATCATCAGCAGAGGCTGAGAAATTAAAAAGAGACGAGAACTTAGAAATAATAGTATAAATATAACAATGCTAAGAGTTAAAAGTTAAGAAAAATATCTAAACAGAGGCAACATGTACTGTGACCTCAGTTTCAAGCTAAGAAATATGGGCTAACATCAGCATCTGTTGTCTCAATTTACAGTACTTTGCAAGCATCTCAAGCCTGCCTTCATTTCCTTGGATTTTGCTTCTATGAAGGCAAACTTCTGTGTAAAGTTTTTAAGTTGTCTTGAGCAACAATTCTAAAAACTCCTTTGTTGAACTGTGAGGATAAGCCACAGCAGCCTGGAGAAAAGCCACACAAGCAAAACGTGCTCACAGAAAGCTCTAAAATCAGATCAAGTCAGAACTTTCTTACTGTGAGGCTCCGGCAAGACACCCAGTTCCCAAAGATAAGTCAGTAATAAGTTTAGTTAATAAGTTCAAACCTCGCACAACAGAAGGATACAAATCTGGGAGAACTGTGCACACGTGTCACTGTGGGGAAAGAAGAAAAAATTGAAACATTTCATGGTTTAACTCCATGTACATTAACATCTGTTTAGAGGTATTACATCAAATGCTTGTTAGACTGACAGAGTGATCGAGATTTACATCAAAAGGCAAAAACCCACAATGATCAATACTTTTCTAAATTCTTCATTCGACATTTAGTGGTGACTCACACAAAATTCCACAGCACATACAATTTTTGGTGACTGTTAAGCTACGAACAGGTAACAGAAGACTTTATAACACATCTTTTTAAAAACAATAAGTTTATGCATAAGTTTAATAAGGTCTGGTTTTCTGTTCTTCTACTTTCTCACACTGTCAAGCTCAATACTTGCATCATTACTCTAGTCCAATCATCTTCCTGTCCACCTTCTTTGAGCCAATTAGCCTCTGGTTTAAAAAGACTCTCGTCCATGCAACCAACCTCCTCCCCATCTCCACCTCAGACACCTCAGTCATAGCTCCATCCAAGCCTCAGTCTTCATCTTCATCGCCACCAGAGTCTAGACTCCAGGGCGTCCTGTCTCAAATCCCATCACTGCTGTGATTCATCCTGCTATGATGGATCATCGGGGTCTAATCGCCAAATACAATAACTTTTTTATGTCAATAAATCATGCTGTGACATGCGATGTCAATCAATATTCATAATCGCCGTACCTATGACAATGTTTATGCAGAGTTTCATTCAGATTGGCCGACACGGTGAGTAGGAGACAGGGTACACACAGACTTAGATCATGTTCAACTGATTCAATATTGAGAAGCTGAAACAAAATGATGTGTAACAGATCATATCTACAAACATCCATGAAGCACCCTGTCATATGATTTTAAAGTCGCCACGGCAAGTTTTGCTAGTACACCTCAATCTATTGTTGATTTTATGTACAGTTAATTCCACGCACCAGGATTTGAAGTTACCTAACTTTAAATCCTGGTTCATCATTTAGCAGTTTACTTTCAAGTAAAATGACTCTTTACCTCTTGGCCTCCACTTTGATGGCCACGCAACATTTCTGGGCTGCCTCTGAGACCCTGTCATCCTCCCAGCTGGACATCAGCTGTGCTGACTGTTCATCTTCTCCTAAGGACAGAGTGACAGAAAACTGATGAGACATGTGGTCAAAACTATGGGTCCAGCTTCACAGATGGAACTGCAGAAGAGTGCAAGTCTCATCTTTTCCAACTCTTACAGTAACGTCCCTCTGCGTAATCTGGGATCCACTTTTCTCTCTTCTGTTCTCAGTGTTTCTGTGATGCACTGATGTATTACAGAAACACAACTGTGCCAGGACGGAGACACAAAACCTTTTTTTACCCCACAGAAAACAGAAGCTGCTTTTCACTTTGTGTCAGCTTTGTGCTTGACAACATCTGTTCAGATCAAAAGTCACATTAAAATCAATAAACTGTTGTATACTACTAACACAGGCTGTTTATACCTGGTCCAGTGTGATGCTGAGACTTATTGTAGAGAGCTGTTTAAAGGATCTAGTTCTTTATAATTCGTTATTTATTATACATATGATCGTAGGCCTTTCCATAAATGTGTTTCTTTTTACATTTCGCTTTCTGATTAATTACAAAACACAGAGATATATGCGGCATATCGTGAACCATGCTGACTATGTGGAGCTCCTTTTGCTCCAGAGCGCCCTGTCATACTGTGATGTAACGACGAAGGCGCCGCGGCTGGCCACACGAGTGTACTCGGCTACTGTTCTGGAAGTGGACGGACGGTCCGTCATTTATGAAATCCTCGGACTGGCCTGCGGAATGCAAACAACTAACGCTAGCGTTACGTCAGCCCGGTTCAGCTGTGAGGACAGCAGGTGCTGTTGCACAGGACGTTACACCGACACACCGTGTACACCATAGATACGTTACTAGACTTCTGTATTCTTGCTGTCGATGGGTATTCATCAAATACATATGACGACTTCTTTCATACCACACTGACTATGCTAATTAGCTAATGGCTACAATGGCTTCCAACGCTAACTGGCTAGCACCATGTAGAGTTTTCGCATGTTTTCCACTGTTACCTGTGATGACAACGACAAAGACCAAACTCCGTTGTTTAGCCGATTTAATGGCATCAGGAATTGAACCCTGAAACCAAAGCATCATTGCAAGCTGAGTTCTGTGTTTCTGCTTTGGAGACACGGATGAGCAGCTAGGCTTACCAAACCTAAAGCCCAGTCAGCCTGTCACTTTCTACTTCCGCTCACAGCGCACATCAGCTGGCTGCAGCGTCAGCTTCTCTTCTTCTCTCCAGTTTAACGACAATCAGCATCCTAAGTGTTGCATTACTGCCTCCTTCAGGTTCACTAGTTAATTACAATCGGTTCAACTCTATGCTAATTAATTATTCTCGAAAAGAGTCTCCTTCTGTTCTTCCCTGGCCCTAAACTTTACAGATCTCTAATCACCTCTCCTCTTGTTCATTGCATCCATGTGTCAAATCAACACAGTTACATTCTAAAGAATTATGGGGAGTAATGAAGCGCCCATGACTGTAGAAAAGAGTGTTTATTTAATAAGAAATGGGATAATGGGCAGATCCACTGCGGAGTCCAGGCCCACCCACTGCCATAGTGACGGGCAAACTTAGCACGGCTTCGTGAGTAACATGATTAAAAGAGACATAAATACTAACAGCATTTTATGTAGGGATCATCCATAAACTGTGACACATCTTTTTTGGTACTGTTCTTCTCAGTGGCGGTCCTAGCCTGTTTGGCGCCCTGGGCGAACACTCCCTCCCTGTATCTTTTGCTCGTTTCTCTTCCTCTTCTTTTCTCTTTTTTCTAAACTGAGGACCTGATGGCTTTGAACTTTTCTTGTCCATCTTCCATTGGTTTTAATTTTGCACTACAGTATGAACACCCATCCCTCAACCCAACATGATCTAACACACCTACACCTTAGTTCACAGATTCACTTTGTCTAGGGTGCATTTCTGAGATTTTCGATTTTCTCCCTGTGAGGCTTGGATTTACAACATTTTAAATGAAATGCGCTCTATTTGGAAGCCCCCCTCCCCTTTCGACGGCTTGTGTGTGAGACTGTAAATTTTACATCAAACTGTAAATTTTAAATTGTTATTGATCCCTTTATCCCTAGTCCTAAAGTGTATTTTTATTTTCTTACTCTTCTTATATATATTGTTTGTTTACTTGCACTGCTGTAACTGGAGCCTCGTCGTCTCGTCTCTCTATATACTGGACTGTAGCGGAGATGACAATAAAGTTTACTTTGACTTCAGCAGCAAGCAGGTGCACTGAGGGCTCTCGCGTTCACTTTTCATGTATAGAATTTCGAAAAAACATCGGTGCAAATTATAAGTCTGTATTATAATGTCTGGTGTTTTCGTGTTTGTTGTTTTGTTTTTATTTTGTTGTATTTTGCGAGTTGGTTATTAGATGCTGCTCCAGCCGGTCAGAGAATCCCCCGCCGCCCCGCCCTCTCCTCTCTGCGCCGCAAGCAGCAGGCGCACCTCGCAAACGAAGGGCGCCCTATACTCCCAGGAAATGGGCGATAGAAAACCGATCGGTGCCTATGCCATTCCCAATATGCGCTGGCTGACGTCAGGGCAGCACGAGTACGAGCATTTTTTTAAAAAAATTTTTTGCCGATGCCCGTGATGCCGCCCCCCACCACGATGCCGCCCTGGGCAACCGCCAGTGTCGCCCGTATCTAAAACCGCTACTGTGTATTGTAATTGGTCCAGCCCAGAGTTGATTATGACAAATTGGCTAATCCACCTCCTTTCATTGTTTATACCATTACAAAAACAAACAAACATAAAAATGCGGTAAGCTGGTGGGTAACAGGCAACGACAGTGCGTTTCTTACTGTAACATGCATTTGAATGGACTTCTCGCCAGACACAAAGTGTAGGTTTTCATCTTGTGAATAACTTGAAAATCTTAGCTCAAACAGCTGCAAAACCTGTTTGCCCAACACCGTGATGCTGAATTCTATAAGATAAAGCCATAAATATGTGTCTTCTATCAAAAGTTACAGCTATCTCTATGAAATTGATGAAAAACGCTTTATTTCGCCAAGATAGTGCGTTTCTCACTGTTACATGCATTTGAATGGAGTTCTCGCCAGACACAAAGTATAGGTTTTCATCTTGGGGCCAGTGTTGTTGGCTGAGGACATTCACATTACACCAGGGCCTGTGATTCCTGTGAGGCCATCTTCACCACACCAGGGCCTGTGCTGTTGGCTGAGGCCATCCGCATTACACCAGGTTCTATGGTTCTGGCTAATACCATCCACATTACAACAGGGCCTGTGATGCCGGCTTCTACCATCCGCACTACACCAGGGACTGTGCTTCCTGTGAGGCCATCTTCACCACACCAGGGCCCCTGCTGCTTGTTGATGCCATCCAAATTAGGGCCTGTGGTGCTGACCGATATCATGCACATTTCACCAGGGCCAGTGGTGTTAGCTAAGGCCATCCACATTACACCAGGGTGCGTGGTGCTGACCAATACCATCCATATTTCACCAGGGCCAGTGTTGTTAGATGAGACATTACAACAGGGCCTGTGCTACTGGCTGAGGCCAACTACATTTCACAAGGGCCAGTGTTGCTGGCTGAGGACATTCACATTGCACCAGGGCCACTGGTCTCTGTGAGGCCATATTCACCACACCAGGGCCTGTGCTACTGGCTGAGGCCAACTACATTTCACAAGGGCCTGTGTTGGTGGCTGTTGCCATCCACAATACACAAGGGCCAGTGTTGCTGGCTGAGGACATTCACATTGCACCAGGGCCACTGGTCTCTGTGAGGCCATATTCACCACACCAGGGCCTGTGCTGCTCGCTGATACCATTCACATTTCACCAGGGCCTGTGTTGCTGGCTGATTCCATCAACATTACACCGTGGCCAGTGCTTTTCTTGCACAAAAAAAAGTTTTTCATTATGTGAATAACTTTAACATCTTAGCTCAAACAGCTGCAAAACCTGTTTGCCCAGCACGGGGATATTGAAGTCTATAAGATAAAGCCATGAATACGTATATCTGAGTCTTTTGATCAAAAGGTACAGTTAACTTCATGAAGTTGTACAAAAAGGCTTTATTTCACCAAGACAGTGCGGTTCTCACTGTTACATGCATTTGAATGGAGTTCTTGACCGAAACAAAGTATAGGTTTTCATCTTGTGAATAACTTGAAAATTTTAGCTCAAACAGCTGCAAAACCTGTTTTCCCAACACGGGGATTTTGAATTATTTAAGATAAAGCCATAAATATGTGTGTCTGAGTCTTCTATCAAAAGTTACAGCTATTTATATGAAGTTGTAGAAAAACGCTTTATTGCATGTAATGCTTACTGTTACATGCATTTGGCATTCTCAAACAAAACAAATTATAGTTTTTTATTTTGTGAGTAACTTGAAAATCTTAAATCAAACAGCTGCAAAAAACATTTGCACAACATGGGGATGTTGAATTCTATAAGATTCAGCCATAAATATTGTTAAGTATCAACACTTCGTGTTTCGTTTAATTCCTCATAGGCATCTGATGGAAGACAGCAAATGGTCTGCTCAGTAGACCATTTTACACTTTTATTTTACACTTTTATTTCTTACAAAAGGGAGATGTGTCCTGCATGGCACTCTGCTGCCAATCTCGAAATGAAAAGTGTGCTTAACAGTTTTCCCACTCTAGTCTAAACAACAGTGTTACACAAGCATTCGGTAGGCACGTTGCATAGCGTACTCATAGGTTGTTGTCTATTAGCTGCTAAACGTCTTTACTCAGCTCCAGCAAGGCTACGACCTTGCCCTACTTCTCCTCTGGTTGTTTAAGTTATCTCTACCTTTTGCAGTCAAGCGTGGGTGAGAGTCTCCTACATTTTTATCTTGTACTTGTTTTTACACCTTTTAATGTCAAAGTTGGTCTCTGTGATTTTTCAGTGTTGGAAAGACTCTTTCTTGCACTGAGGTCTGCTTGTTAAATAAAAAAGTGTAAAATTAAATTTCAATAAACTAACCATAATGCCAGCTCATATGCTCTTAACGCTGCATCTTTAACTCTTTTACAGGATTTGCAGTCTTCTGATTCCTGATGAGTTCCGTAAGTGACAAGCTTACTGACTGTGTTTACTCTTCTGTGTATTAGGTATTAGGAGTAGGTACGGGTGCAGGGGAAGGCTGTGTCCTGGCTGACTCTATTCATGAAAAATATAATCTGTGTTACAACAAGATTGAAATTGAGACTCAGCATTGTTTCCCAATTTTCCAAACCCATATGAACTGTAGCCTCAGCTTTCTGTGCTTAGCTGACAGGAGGGATAGCAGAACAGATGTGTTATAACATTTTGAGCAATGTCCTTGTACGATATTTAAGCTGCTTGTAAAGTGAAGAAAGTAGACACTTTAATCAGCCCACTCCTACAACCTGAAATGTGTGAAAGTCTAAATATTTATCAGAGGGGCTCACTAAAGATGATTTCAACAGGACAAAACTTCTTAAACTACTTCAATCTCCCACTGTGACCACTGGTGCAGGGCAGGATGAGGGTTTGAAGGTCAGTTCCTGCTATTGCAGCATCACTGAGTGTCTATCTTAAGATAAACATCATTTATTTTTGAGGTCGGTTTTGATCAAGAACATAAGTATAGCCTGCATGAAACAACCAGAGCAGGAGGTTCAATCAAGAACACATATGACATATGACACATATCTGCTTGACACGAAAGCAGTGCACACTGAACTCAGGTAACATTTGTTATTAGAGGAGGTCAAAAAGTGTGTCAGTGAGAAATATCCATCAAAAGCATGATTTACACTAGCTGCAGCTCACAGTCAGCAACTCATCAGTTTTGTTGTTCAAACCAAACAAGAATTTTTCACATCACGTTGTCCTGCAGGAACTCACCAGATCACCTCTCCAGCACTTTGATCCCAAGACAGGAATACAATATGCAGAGTTAGTTTAATTGATTGGAATTCAGCTGTCATCTTCAGAGTGTTTCATTTGATAAAGTTAAGAACGAGAAATCAAGTGGTCAGAGCTATCATGGTGATATTCAGGGTCAGATTCTGTGCTAGTGCAAAACCTTCTTTTGGCCTGAAAAAGCTACTGTGGGGTTTACAACAGAGGAGCAATTGAAAGCCTGCAGGTCAAATTAGCGTCAGGATGCATTTGCAAAAATGTTTCGTGTGAGTAGAAAGTTCTCTGGGTGATCCAACCGTGCGTTAGTTGATATACAAACATGCAA